TTTTTTTTTTAGAGCGTATGCACTTAGTTGGACGATTTGAGTACTGAAGTTGGATCCTGCCTGTTCTTTCTGCGAAAGGAAGATTACATCCATTGCCAATAAAGTCATAGTGTGCTTGTGATGACTAGGGAAAGGGAGAGAGAGCGGGGTAGATGGAAGAAGAGAGAGAAGAAAGAGGGATAAAATAGAGAGAGAAAAAAAAAGAAAAAATAGAGGTAGAGAGAGAGGGGGAAGGAGAGAGAGGGAAAAAGAACTAGAGTATCATCTATAGTTGCTGCGAGACTTTCTGAAGGGGGGTCCAGTCCCCCTCCTTTTTTTTTTTCTTTTTTTTTTTACTGCTTCTCAGGGCTGATGCTACTACTTGTTTATATGAACAAGACATCATCTTTGTTGTGGAAAATAATGGTATAAGAAGTCCATCTTGAAAGAAAGCAATGACAAAAATCCCCTCTTTCTTTTTGCTTATGACAAAGGAAGATAGAAAGAAATAGAGAAAAGTTCCTAGCAGCATATTGCGCAATTGTTGTGAAGAGCAAATGGTACTTAGTCATATAAACGGCCGAGCCCCCCCCCCCTCTTTCCCTTCTTTCTAAATTCGTCTATTTGGAAAAAACAGATTCTAAGTTTTCTATTTGCTGCTGAAAAAAAAGAGAAAAGAGGGGAAGAAGAAGAGGGGGAGGGGAAGGAAGAGAGGAGAGGGATCACGAGAGAGGGGAATGGTGGAAGGGGAGAAGAGAGGAGAAGAGGAAAAAAGAGTAAAGTCAATAGGGAAGAAGCGAGGTGAGAAGGTAGAGTGAGAGAGGAGGAATCTCTGTTTTTGTAAGAAGTAATTAGGAATTTTTCAATGCTTTCATAGTGCTTTAGATTGAGGTCCTCGCCCCCCTACCCCTCTCTAAGTCCGAAGCATACTAGTAGTATTTTATAGAAAAAATGAGTTTTGTGTTCTTCCTTGGCTGTCTGAGTGTCTTTTCAGAAAATGTCAGAGTGCCAGTTCATGGGTGTCAGAGAGTCCTTTCACAGCCTTCGGGTGTCAGGAGGTCAAGATAGCACAAGCATAATTTAGAAAACATATCCGACTTCCATTGGGGTATGCATTTCAAAGAATAGATAGGGTTTTATTTCGGGATTGATCCTGGAAAAACATTTGTTGATACTTAAAAAACAAAGCTCGGCGTCCTTCATCTAAAAAATGCTAATTAGTATAGTTAAGACCTTAATCGTAAGCTTATCGTTCGTTTTTTTTTTTTTTGTTTTTTTTTTTTAGCCCCTCCTATGAAGGCAGCTGGTGTGGATGAGTCATAACGTCCCTCTTGTACATAGCCAAAAGGCAAAAGAAGGCAAATTTGAATGACGGATTCCCCCTCCCATTTTTTTAATTTTTTTTTTGAAGAACAAAAATGTTAGGGATGGTGACGTACGGGAGAGAAAGACAAAGGCAGACGAGAGGAGTGGAAGATGGTAAGGCGCGCGAAGGGGAGGGAGC